AAAACTAAAGTACAGTAGTGCAAGCAGTGCTACTTAAATAGGGCAAAGCAGATAGAGTTTAATAAGTATGAAACACTGAGTTGGATTAGTGATGTATGTGAAACAGGTTTCACTGGGTTATATCAGTGATGAAGATGAAATGTGATAGAGGTGAAACATGATGTAAGTGAAAAATGATATAGGTGAAACACATCAAGTGATGGGATCAGTTGTACAGTTACAGGGTCAATGATGAATAGTTAGGAAAAGAAAAAGAACCCCCCTCTGATGCTGTAAGAAGATGCGTCTAAAGGGGGGGTTGAACTTCCTGTGGAAGAAGTCCTTCTTCCATCAGAAGTCTTCATCCAAGCCATTCAGAACCTTGAACCCATCAATACTGACATCAAACAACGCATCTTGACTTGCAAACCCAAGGACAGCATTGTCAATCATGGCCTTTGACTTGCATTACAGCATACCACAGCTACAGACAAGTGTACTCCCCCAAATTGGGATATCCAGGATGACTTATTGATATTCAGAAGATGAGTCTATATACCCAAGGATGCCAAACTTCGACAAGACCTCATCCAGGAAGCTCATGACTCTCTGACTACAGGACATCCTGGACAGTACAAGACACAGGAAATTGTTACAGCATCGGAGGGGGGGGTTCTTTTTCTTTTCCTAACTATTCATTGTTGACCCTGTAACTGTACAACTGATCTCATCACTGATGTGTTTCATCTACATCAGCATTTCATATCTATTGCATTTCACCTATATCATGTTTTACTTACAATCACAATTCATCTCTATCATGTTTCATCCTCATCACTGATACAACCCAGTGAAACCTGTTTCATATACATCACTGATCCAACTCAGTGTTTCATAATTATTAAACTCTATTTGCCCTGTCCTATTTAAGTAGCACTACCTTCGCTACTGTACTTCAGTTTTGTCCTCTTGTTCCCTATGTACCTTCATAGGGACACTTCCAGTAATAAACTCAGTTGTCTATTCTAGTCTTGGTCTGAAGCATTGCTTCAATCAGTATAACTTTCTCAAACCACTGCCAGTTGCAGTGGCTCAGTCTACAAGTCTAGTTCTAGTATAGCGTGTCAGCCTTACGCGTAGCAGTATCTCTTGTCAGTAGTAGTCTTAAGTGGAACTCCTGATCCTCAGTCATCAGGTCCCTTAACAGAAATCCTCTAAAGAACCTATTGGTGGCCCACCCTTGCTCATGATGTCAGCAAATACATCACTGATTGCGCAACTTGTCAAGAGAACAAGGTCATCACATACAGGAATTCACTGGATTTAGTACCCATCATGTCAGAACATCACCTTCCATTCCAATCAATTGTCATGGACTTCATCACGGATCTTCCTCAGAGCCACAGCTTTGACAGCTGTCTAGTAGTAACAGACCATGACTGTACCAAAGCTTCAGTATTCATTCCCTGTAACAAGACAGTTACAGCATCCAAAACAGCTACCCTGTATCAAAATCACATATTCAGACATTTCAGACTACCTGTAAAAGCTATATCTGACAGAGGACCACAGTTTGCATCACAAATGTTCAAGGAGTTATGCACTAAATTAGGCATCAAACAGAACATCTCTAGTGCATTCTACCCTCAAACTGATGGATAGTCAGAACATGTCAATCAAGACCTGGAACTATACCTTTAGATCTTTTTCAACCACTGTGCAACAGATTGGACACATCACCTGCCATTAGTAGAATTTGCACATCACAATAGATATCATGATGCAATCAGTACATCACCCTTTCAAGTGCTTATGGGTTACCAACCTCAGCATAATATTCCCACTGTAGGAAGAACTGATGCTCTGGATATTGCTTCTAGACTCACTCAGCTAGTGCACCTTTGCACAGAAATCCAATCCAGCATCTGGCTAGCAGAAGAAACAGTCAAGAAATGAAATAAAAACAAATTTGTCAAGTATTCACCTGGACAAAAAGTATGGCTAGAAGCAACCAATCTCAAAGGCCTCCACCCAAAAGCAAAGCTTGGTTCAAAAGGCTATAGACCCTTTACCATCAATCAGAAGCTGTCATTGGTAGTTTATCATCTGAAACTGCCACCCAAATAGAAGATTCACCCTGTGTTTCATGCAGGATGACTCTACCCTTATTCAGAAACAATGATATATGGAAGGAACTACCTCCAACTGCCACTGGAGCTCATCAAGAACTGGGAGGAGTTCAAAACTGAATGTATCATTGATTCAAAAACAGTTGGCAAGTGAACCCTGTACTGGGTCTGGTAGAAAGGATACCTGGCCCCGGATGACTCCTGGTTGCCAAAAGCTGAACTATCACATGCTAAAGATGCTTTGGTGGACTTCCTACAACCAAACAAAGGATGTGTTACAGCTTCAGAGGGTGGTCTTTCTTTCTCCTTACTATTACAATGATCCCATCATGTGGTGCATTTCACCTGTATCATTGTTTCATATATATTGCATTTCACCTTTATCATGTTTCACCTACATCTCATTTCACTTATATCATGTTTCATCTTCATCACTGATACAACCCAGTGAAACTGTTTCATGCATATCACTGATCCAACTCAGTGTTTCATGCTTATTAAACTCTATTTGTCTTGCTTATTTAAGTAGCACTACTTACACTACTGTACTTTAGTTTTGTCCTCTTGTTCACTACATACCTTCATAGGGATATCCTCAGTAATAGACCCAGTTGTCTATTCCAGTTCTAATCAGAAGTCTAGCTTCACTCAGTATACACTCTCAAACCACTATCAGCTATAGCGGCTCAGTCTACAAGTCTAGTTCCAGTATAATGCATCAGCTCTATGCATATAAAGTATCAGTCTCAGTTATCACATCCAACTCTTGATCCTCAGTTGTTAGGTCCCTTAACAGGATGACCTCTTATAAGAACTAGAATCTCTCCATATCCCCAATGGCATCCACAACTATTCTTGCTGCCCTCCTCATCCTCACTTGGTTCAGCCTCGTCCTCCTCATCCTCCTCCTTATCCTCACTGTCTTCTATCTCAAAGACACCTACTCCCTCAGCGTTCACATTGCACAACGCCCTGTCACACCCCTCACCAACAAAACCCCCGAGCGGCCTGCCAACGGAGTACAAGTAACGTCCCCTGTACCACTAACACTGACCCTGTTTACTGATTTACTTAGTTGTGAACCCACTCTCTCCACTCACCACCACTACTCTTGTTGTTGCCAACAAGTGCCCCCACCTCCTCCTTCTAGCCCTCTTGGGCTTCTTCCTCACCACCCTCCTGTCCATCCTTGCCCTCACCCTCATCATCCTCCTCACCCTTTGCACCACACTCCGACACCTCAAATGTGAACATCAGTGGGTGTTCAACATCACCACCACTGTCCAGTGCCCCCTCCTGCATACCACCACTAATCTCCCAGTCATTGCCTCCAACTGGGATCCCAACAATCCCACTCAAGTGTACTTTGAGCACATTAGGGAGCATCAAGATTAGGGTCTGGGGTTTTATCTTGTCTGTAGTAGTTGCCTGTGTTTGTATTCTGGTTCTGGGACTTTCAAGAAAACTTCCTTTCTTGTGCTTTCTCATGCCTGCTGAGCACAATAACTGCACCAGAAACAACAATGCAACTTCCCCTAACCCCAATCTGCATTGTTGCCCTTTGGCTCCTGTTAGGAACAATAATTCTCCAATGACTGTCCTACAGAGAGTGCCAACCCCTTACCCTTCCCATATCCAGACGTTAGAAGAGCACTTCACAGCTGGAATAATAGAAATGCTGACCCCTGTTCATCCTATCCTAAGCTTCCCTTCCCAATGGGAAACCAATAATTCCTTGCTAGAATTTCTTGAAGATGGAGGCTTCAGATACCCTATCGGACCTTTGTCAAATGTCACCCATCACCCATTCCTGATTCTGGGTCTTTTGGAGTCTTCTAGCAATGATGCTGTGGTCTTATATCAATTCCCTGGTCCCCTGGAAGTTCCACAGAATACCTCAGAAGCATCTACTGGTTCTTACCATGCTGTCCCCATACAATTTTTCCCAGCAGCTTCACCAATGAACGTCTCATCCTCTCCAGATCCTGACCATCCTCCAGCCTATTCCTCCCCACCAGATTCCCCTAGCATGCCTCCTCTTGCATCTGATGTTTTGGACAATGGCAGTCTAAACCACGCTCCCAATCTTCAACTGCTGGCAGATGTTAGCGAATACATTACAGCATCCAAAGGAGGTCACAGCAGCAATCCTCAGGAATTTATCGTCTATAGCGATGTCATGATTCAAAGACCCACCCTTGATGTTGCTAGGACATGGTGTTCCATCCCCTTTGACACTTCTACTCCCGTCCAAGATGTTGATCTCCTGGAATGAGCCATGCCCCACTCTCCCGGAGCCTACACTGACTTTGTTACGCAACCCCCCTATGGGTGTTCCCATCAACGGTAATCCAGCCTTTGGGCTATGACAGGTCTCAACCACCACAGTACCTGCACTCTGCACCGCTGACCCCATAGGGAACTGGAATTCTTCAGACAAGGAATGAGAAGAGGATACTTGGGAATATTTGCTGATGCAAGATGACAATTTGCTAGAGAGTCTCTGGGCATCATTGCAGGACATCAGGGATCCAGGAGTAATTGGTGAAGTCAATCGCTTCAGGGCTGTCAATGCCAAGATCAACCTACTACTTGCTGCACAAAGATCCATAGGTGCTGAGCTCCTTCACACTGAAGAAGAAATGAGTCAATGTCACACACACCTCAAAGCTGCCAATCTAGAAGAACGACTTGAATGCCAGGAATTCTCCATTATCACTCCTCCCTCCAGCACCATACCTTGATGACTTTGTTTCTATACCAAATGTGAAGCCGATGGTCATCTGTAGAGTGAGTGTTGGCATTGGATATGTTCCTCTTGCAGACTCCTCCTTCCTCATCACAAATTCTGGGTGGTGATCAATGCCCAACCTGGACAATCCCCTTGTCCCACTGAGGAACTGGGTTACTTAAAGGAACAATGTGTGCAGTGGCAACTGTAACAATGAATCTGGAGAGGGGGGTAATGTTACAGTGTTGAGGGGGGTTTTTCTTTTTGTTCTTACTATTTGTCATTGACCCTATACCACCACAACTGATCCCATCACTTGATGCATTTTGCCTGCATCATTGTTTCACCTTTATCACATTTCATCTATATTACATTTCACTTATATGATGTTTCATCTTCATCACTGATACAACCCAGTGAAACTGTTTCACACTTATCACTGATCCAACTCAGTGTTTCATACTGATTAAACTCTATTCACCCTACTCTATTTAAGTAGCACTACTTGCACTACTGTACTTAAGTTTTGTCCTCTTGTTCTCTATGTACCTTCATAGGGACATCCTCAGTAA